AAATGATAATTGGAATAACAGACAAGTTTGGCCTTGAAGTACAAACTGTTTTTTGTTTTGTTTTGGTTTTTGGAGGCAATTGAAGATAAATGACTTGCCCAGGTTCAAATAGCTAGTGTCTCAGGCTAGATTTGAACTCAGGTCTTCACTGCATTATCTAGCTGCCCCAACAAAATGAAGCAGGGTATAGACTAATAGTTTTGTCAAGATAACTTATTGTTCACAACAAACACTCTTTTTCAACAACCCAAAAGGCAACTCTACACATGGACATCACCAGATGCTCAATACTGAAATCAGATTGAACGTATACTTTACATCAAAGTGGAGAAGCTCAATACAGTCAGCTAAAATAAAACCTGGAATTGACTGTAGCTCGGATCATGAGTTTCTCACTGCAAAATTCAGACTTAAATTGAAGAAAGCAGAGAAAACCATCAGGCCATATAGGTATGAGTAAGAATGGTAGAGGAAAAAAACTGCTAAATAAGTGAGAGTGATGGAAGAAAAAATTGGAAAGGGAATTAGCTTGGCACAAGAGGTACAAAACCTTGCCCAAGAAAAATAAAATTCCCTGAAAATTAGAATGGCTCACACAGAAGCCAATAACTCCATGAAAAAACTAGATATAGTAAAACAAAATCAAAAGAAAAAAACAGAAGAAAATTTAAGGTATCTTATGGCAAATACAACTGACCTAGAAAACAGACTGAAAAGATATAATTTAAGAATCATTGAATTACCTGAATACAAGTCAGACAACAAATATTTATTAAGTGCTTACTATGTGCCTAGCACTGTACTAGGTGCTAGATTTACAAATAAAAACAAGTTTAGCCCCTGTTCTCAAGGTGCTTACAATCTAATGGAGGAGATAAGAGACAAAAGGAAGCTGAAAAGTGGGGTAGAGGTGTTCAATCAAGAGGTGAAGTGGGTACTGATGAGATGTGGTACCAGACAGATTCAATCTTGCAGGATAATGAGATTTCCCAATGATGAGTTTCCTGGGGAAAGAAGGCATGTTGGAGAAGTCCAAAGAAGTACAAATACAGTGTGGCTGGGAATTCATGACCCTGACCAAAAAAAGGGCCTACACATCACATTTCAAGAAATCATAAAAGAAAACTGCCTCAGAAACATAAGGCAAAGTGGAAATAGAAAGAATCCACTGGTCACCTTCTAAATGAAACTTCAAAATGAAAACTCCCAGGAGCTTTGCAGCCAAAATCTAGAGCTTCCAGGTTAAAGAAAAAATATTGCAAGCAGACAGAAAGAATTTAAGCGCTAAGGAGCCTCAGTCAGGCTAACATAAGATTTAGCTGCTTCCACTACATAGGAGCAGAGAGCTTGGAATAAGACATTCAAGAAGGCAAAAGACAAAGGCCAATAACAGCAAACAAGAACAACTTACCTACTAAAACTGAGTAAAATCCTACAAAGGGAAAAAAATGGACCTTTAAAATGAAATAGAGGGTTTCAAAGCATTTCTGATGAAAAGAACCAGAGCTGTAGAAACTCAGATGAACAAATTCAGGAATATTAAGAGAAACATAAAAAGATAAACTGAGCAAACAATCTTACGGAATTAAATAGGGTAAACTACTTACATACTAATATGGGGAGATGATATGTGTCGTCTCTGGACCTTAATCATCATCAGGGGTCATAAAGAGTCTAACGATAAGATAGAAGGCTTGGAGAGGTAGGTGCTATTATTATCTCCATTTTACAAATGAGGAAATTGAGGCACAAAGAAGTTAAATGATTTGCCCAGTTGGCTAGAAAGTAGCTGAGGCTGCATTTAAATTCAAGTTTTCCTGACTCCAAGTCTAATACTATCCATTGTTCCACCTACTGGCCTCAGAAAAGGGGGAAAGGGAAATAAGAATGAGGCTAGATTGGGGGATAAATACTAATCAAAACAAATTTTTTTCTTTTTTTCTCCATTAAGTGAATGGAAGAGAGAAGGAAAGAAAGTAGATTTTTGCTACTGAAAAAATTTTTTAATAAAAATAAAAATACTTAACCTGTACAGTCAATGTTAGGGCCAGCTATGATACCAAACTAGACTTCATGAATAATTAAATTATATTCTCCGTACTCTATACCAGAAGATGCAGTTTGAACAAAATGGAGATAGCTTTTAGACTACTATATTCCGACAAATATCTTCATGCTGCATTGAAATGGAAAAAATGCTAGATTTGGGGTCAGAAGATCTGAGTTCAAATCCTGATTGTGCCACTTACTACCTGTGTGATGTCTGACAAATTACTTAACATGTCTCCATCTCAGTTTCTTCAAATGCAAAATTAAGATAATTATATAATTATTTAAGAGGTAATTTTTTAAAAATTTAAAACAAGCATTAGTGTTTTTAACACACAAAGCCACTAAAAAAATCTAAGAGGATAAAAAAGTTAAGTCAAAAGTTTTGTAACCTATGAGGATTCAATTTGAGAAGAAAAAATCTAAAGTTCTCCTTAGATCAAAAAAATTCAAATAATTACAAATCAACTCTCATTCATTTCTTGCACTGTTTGTATCCTATTTGGTTAAAAACCTGTCTTGTCCACAAAGTTCAATATTGTAAAAATTAAATAATGATAAAAGAAATATAAATCAAAACAATTCAAGTTTAACCTCATGCCCCAAAAACTGGCAAAGAAGATAAAAGATGGAAACCATCAATAGTGGGTGAAGATGAGGGTTGTGGAAAGACAAGCACAGCAATATACTTTTGATGGAATTCTGAATTAGTTCAATCATTGTAGACAGTAATTTGGAATTTTGCAAAGAAAATGACTAAAAGGTCCAAACCATCTGATACAGAAATTCCACTTCTACGAACATATATTTTATTTTATCTAGCATTTATACAGCACTGTTAAGATTTGCAAATTTACAAATACGGTATTATCTCATTATCTGAGGCTAGATTAATTTAGGTCTCTTCTGATTCTAGTTCCAGGTCTCTTATCTACTGTGCTAACTAGCTACATATTCTTCAAGGAAACCAAAGATAAAAAAAAAATAGTCCCATATAAGCAAAATATTTATAGCAGAACTTTTTGTAGTAGCAAAAACCTGGAAACAAAGTAGACACTCACTAATTGAAAGCAGCTAAAGAAAATGTGGTGCATGAACAGAAGCAGAAAAACAATATAAACAACATAACTAGGACAACAAAATGTGGAAATTGAATGCTGAGTGATTATAGACCATAATATAGAAATAAAATTTGCAACGAAGAAGAAATGTGAGAATGCATCTCCCTGCCATTTTTGCAGAGGTGAGGGACTATGAATGTCAAAAACTCCAAGTGTCAGACTTTTTTGCAATGTTGGTTAGTTTTGTTGAATTGTTTTTTGGTTTTGTTTTTTTTTTGCTTTGTTATTATATATAAAAGGTGATGGTGGGGGCATTGTAAAAGGCAGATCCTGTAAAAACAAATGATAATTTAAAAAAACCCTTACTACTGTGCAGAGTAAAAAAAGACAAAAAATGTAGATATAAAGGCTAGGAAAAAAAGGGAGCATCAGGAGAGAGGCTATGGATACTCAACTGCTACAGAGCCTTTATCCAGCAGACTTTGCTTCCACCACTACATACCACAGGACTGCACCAAAATCTCTACTAGCTGTCTACTTCCAGCTGGATCACTAGATGTACAAGGCTCAAGACCTGGCCAGGCCCTAGCATTTATTTACTAGCTATGTCACCATCATTTCAGCTTCCTCATATGTTAAATGAGAATTATATTATAGATCCTTTACAGCTTTTCACATTATAGGCATGTCAAGAGGCAGGCAATGAGGTGACTGACTGAATCCCAAACCCCAAACATATATTAAAACTGGGCTTCAACGATGAAGGACCTCAAAACTGGTGCTCCTTTGGTAACATTACTTCTTTTTTTTTTTTTTTGGTAAATAGTATTTTATTTTTTCCCAATCACATGTAAAGACAGTTTTCAACATTCATTTTTCTAAGATTTTGAGTTCAAATATTTTCTTCCTCCCTTTCTTGCCTCCCCAAGAGGGCAAGCAACCTGATATAGGTTATACATGTGCAATCATGGGAACATATTTTCACATTAGTCATGTTGTAGAAGATGAAACAAAAGGGAAAAGCCACCAAAAAAAGTGAAAATAATTGCTTCTGTCTGCACTTAGACTCCACAGTTCTTTCTCTGGATGTGGATAGTATTTTCCGTCATGAGTCTTTTGGAAATGTCTTGGATCATTGTACTTCTAAGAAGAGATAAGTCAATCATACTTGATCATTGCACAGTGTTACTGTTACTGTGTACAATGGGTAACATTTACTTCTATGAAGCTTTTCAGGATATGTGAATAAACACACTACAGAGCACTTCGGAGGAAGAAATACCTAACTCTAAGACTCTGACTACATCACTTAACCTCTACTAATCAACATCTCTGAGCCTGTTTCCTTCTCTGTAAAATGACAGCATCTTACTTAGAGTCAACATTTATTGTGAGGATCAAAAAAGAACCATGTAACTTGCCTGAAGGAAGAAGCTGTTTCATTTTTGTTCTTGTATCCCTAGCTTAGTGCCTGGCACTGAGGGGGAGTTTCATAAATGCTTGTCGATTAATGACGTACACAAAGTGCTTGGCAAACTTTAAAACGCTACGTGAATGTTAGTTATTACTAGGGGCACACACACGTCGTCTCTCACTCCATCCCTCACTCTCATCTTTCCTACCCACAACACCGGGGCCTTTCTCAGGTTCAATCTCTGGGTGGAAGCCTAGGTTGGCCCAGACTCCCCAAGTCCTCTCCCCTGAGCTGTCGCCGGGGCCAGTGGCCAGAATGGGTTTGGGTGGGTCTGAAGCCTCGTCCCCGTCCCTGCCCTGCCCCCCTCGCAGCCACGACGCCGGGCCGGGCTCGAACCAGGGCTCCGAGTAGGCCGGAACCCATGCAACTGGGGGCCGGCCTCCTCAGGGCCCTCTCGGGTGTCGCCAACGCCTCACCTTCAGCGTCGGCCGAGGAAACGAAGGTAAAGTCCCCGTTAGTAGGTGAATACAGCTGGGGCGGACCCGGAGGCGGCTGCATCTCCCCGCCCCGCGGAGGTGGCGACCGCAGCGGCGGTAGCAGCAGCGGCGGCGGCGGCGGCGGCGGCGGCTGGGCCCAGGCTCGGAGGCGGAGGAGGTGGCGCCGACCCTCGGACGCTAAAACTTGTCCAGGCCCCTCCACGCAAACGGCGGCGGCTTCTCGACCCCTCGAGCTGCGGTAAAGGCGGGCGGGGAAAGCGGGCAGGAGGATGACAACGCGCTCGAGCACAGCCGGGCCCAAACCCCGACCCGGGCCGTGCCGGTGGCGAGCACCCAAACCCCACGACGCCGGCGTCCTGACAGGACCATAACACTGACAGACGTCCTCCCATTGGCTGTTTGTAATGCGGCCGCCGATTGGCTGCCTCGAGGGTGATGCCGATTGGTTGTTCTAATTGTTGCTTCAGGAAGTTCTCCCCTGGGCTGGGCGAGGAAGTTTACTTCTGATTGGTGGAGACACTGGGTTGCCCATCTTGGCTTTTCTGTCCCTTTTTCCTTCCTTTGTTAATCTGGTGCGTTCTTTCTTTTGAAGAGTCCTTTTTCCTTCGTTCTCTTCCCTCTCCCATGTTCCATCCAACTTCATTCTGTCCTCTCCAGTCTTCAACTACTGAGAACCAGTAGTGAATTGGGCTGTTGTGGGAGCGTGGATCTTCCTAGAAGTGACATCGTGTTATAGAAGGAAGCAACTTAGAAATGCTTCTTTTACCAATCAATCAATCAACATGCATTTATTAATCGGCTGCAGAGCGGGCTCTGGAGATAAAAAGTCAAAAACAAAAATACTCTGATCTCAAGGAGCTATCTACACATGAAACTCATCCCCAAAAAGTTAATTTACATTACATTACATAGGATCTTAGAATCTAGTTAACAAACATTAAGCGCCTGTTATGTCAAGCACTGTATCAAACTCAGGGGATTTAAAAAAAAATTCAAAAACAGTCTCTTCACGGAGTTTACAATCTATTGGGAGAGACAAAATACAAACTATAATGTATAAACAAGATACATACAGGACAAATCTATCTCAAATCTTGGATCAGATCTCAAATCTGGGAATGTCAGAGGAAAGGCTCTAGCATTAAGGAAGCACAGGAAAGGCTTCTTTCAGGAGGTAAGATTTTAGGTGAAATGTGAAGGAAGCCTGGAGGTGGAGTAAGGAGAGAATTTCAGGTATGAGGACATCCAGTGAAAAACTTCAGTGGAATTAGTGAGGAATAGCAAGGAAGCTGTAAGTTAGAGGATACATTACATTAATTTATATAAGATGTTAGAGCTGGAAAGGAGCCCAGGGGCCATATAGTTCTGCCCTCTCATTTTGCAGAGGTGGAAACACTAGTCCAGAGAGGTTAACTCACTGGCCCAAGGTCAAATAAGAAGGTACAAGGTGGGATTTGAACTCCAAAGCTATTCTCTTTCCCAGTGGGCCTCATTGCTTTCTCAAGAAACTTGATTTTTCCTAATTATTGGAACCACAAGGAATAGGCTTAAAATGAACTTAAAATTTTTAACATAAAATTAAGCGGTTTTTTTTGGGAGGGTGCCTTCTACAAAGTGTAGTTAGTGGATGAGGTGGATGGGGTGCTCAGGAAGGACTAGTATTTTTGGTATGAGGGCTGTCAAGCTCTTTTCAGAACTGCTCATCTGCCTTTGGTGTCCACCTGCCAACCAGCTGTCACCTGTGGTTCCAAAAGAAGTTGGAGCATGCAGAGCAGCCACACCCCCATAAAACCATCTTAGCAGATTGGCTAAACCAAGTTGAGAGTAAGTGATGGTGAGTGGAGTTGGAGTGGGTGTCTACCCCAAGTATTCGAAGAATAGGTAGATGTGAACATTTTTGTTTCAATGGGCAGGCATTGTGGAGTGCTTAGAGCTTCATCAGATACCTAAGATGCCAAGGTCATCTACTGCATCCAGGGTCATTGCCAGTCATGTTGACTTTTGACTTGCCACTAGACTCTGATGACTCTGGAAGAGAGAGCGAGGCTGACAACTTCGCTCAACTCTGCCTCACTTAAATCAAATTTATTTGGGATTCAAAAGGCATCACCCATACCATTTTACTATTTCATTATTTTATTATTTTTCTATTCAATTATTTTGCTATTTTATTATATATTATTTTACTACATTACCATTTTACTGTCTTGCTATTTTACCTACCTCAAAGTCCTGTGCTAATGGCTAATGATGAAGCAGCAGGTGCAGATACACTTCGAGGTATAGTCACAACCCTGCACATGCTCAGGGCAGGCCATAGGGTCATCTTCTCACTGAGCTTTTCAATAACCCCCTGGGTATCTGAGCAGTCTTCTTAAGGACCGCGCTGGTCACCTCCTGGTGTGAGGAAGGGGCTAGAAATTGTTTGGTTCACCTAACCCTGGCATGCTTACTGAGGCAGGTGGGGAGCTCACCATATGGCCAAAACACAAAAACATGTACAAAAACTTTTATAAAGATGATTCTACTCATCATTGGTACATGCAAGATGGCACACTTATGGACAACAAAAAATCCAGTAGACCTGAAAGACAAACAGTTCTTCTTGCTAGAGAACTGGGCACACATTAGCAGCTCTGAATGAAACAAGGCTGATAAATGAAGGCCAGCTTACTGAGATTGAACTAGATACACATTTTTCTGGAGTGGCCTCAGTGATGGGGAACACCTTGAAGCTGGCATAGATTTTATAATCAAATCTAATTTAGCCAAAGAGCTTGTAGACCTCTCAAAAAGAGTGAATGACTGGCTTATGACAATGTGATTGCCACTTATAGGAATCACACCATCTTTGCTGCATATGTTTCCACTATGATGAACCCTGATGAGGTCAAAGAAAAATTTTATTAAGACCTGGAGACTTTCATCATCACTGTGCTAAAAGAGGATAAGCCCATAATTCTGGGTGACTTTAACACCAGAGTAGGCACAGACTATCAGACATGGCAGGGAGCCCTTGGGAGAATAGAATCAGAAACAACAACAGCAATGCTCATTTAGTGTTGAAGACTTGTGCATCTAATGACCTTCACTTTGCCAAAACTGTTTTCCTTTTACCTAAAAGCAATAAAACTTCATGGATGCACCCTTGTAGCAAACATTGGCATTTAATAGACTATGTCATTGTAAGGAGAAGAGATAGACAGGATGTGAGAGTGACAAAGGCAAGGTGTGGTGCAGCGTGCTGGACCAATCATAGACTTATCCTCTCCAAGCTAAACATTCACATTCAACAAGAGCAGTGAAAACAAATCATGATAACTATCAGAAGACTCAACATCAACAGTTTAGAACACTTCTGCACGTGTGAACAATTTGTTACTGACTTGAAGAGAAAGCTGAGCCAACAACACACTGTTGGTAACAGTGGAACAGAACAGGAGAGGGCAGCTTTCAGAGATTTGGTGTACAGCATTGCATTTATTCATTTGGGTCAGAACACTTGTGAACATCAGGATTGGTTTAATGAAAATGATGGGGAAATTTAGAAGCTACTAAATGAAAAATAATAATTCTACAGGATCTAAAAAGGCAGTATTTAACTCCATCAAAAGTAAAGTGCAGACAAAACTTAGATGCAGGATTCTTGGACCAGTAAGAAGACAGATGAAATTCAGTTTTATGCTGATAGTAACAGTGCAAATTGTTTTTACAATGTTCTGAAGGCTATTTATGGGCCAAAGACTTTTGTACATCTCGACTACTCTGTGCTGATGGGGCCAGATTGATCAGTGATAAGGACATGATCCTGGAGAGATGTGCTGAACACTTCCATAGTATTCTCAACAGACCATCATTAATCAATGCTGAAGTCACTGACCATTTACCTCAGGTTGAAGTCAAAACATCTCTACCTGAATTTCTAATTGAAGAAGAGGTTTTGAATGCCATTAGCTCCTCTGGTGTGGCAAAGCAGCTGGTGCTGATTCCATTCCAGCAGAGATCTACAAGGATGCCTCTGTTGTCCATCTATATAAAGGAAAAGGAAATAAATTGTGCTGTGGGGAGGTTATCTCTCTCTTACTCCTTGCCAGCAAAATTCTCGTCAGAGTTCTCCTTAATAGGCTGATCCTTCTACTGAAAGATGGTCATCTATCAGACAGCCAGTGTTGCTTCAGAAAGGGCCGAGAAATGGTTGCCATGATGTTTGTTGCCTGACAACTCCAGGAGAAATGCCAGGAGCAAAACAAAGGTCTATGTACAATGTTTGTAGATCTGACCAAGACCTTTGAAACTTTTAGTCATGAGGGCCTATAGAAGATCATGACAAAATTTAGTTGCCCAGAGAAGTTCATCAGTATTGTATATCAGTTTCATGATGGCATGCTTGCATGGCTTCTGGTTAATGAACAATATTTTCAGGTTTTCCCAGTCATCAGTTGAGTAAAGCAGGACTACGTGCTTGTTCTCAAACTTTTTAGCATAGTGTTTCCAGCAATTTTGTCAGATGCCTTCAATGAGGACAAAAAAAAATACATCAAAGTCAACTACCACACTGATGGTAAGTTATTTAACTTGAAAAGGCTACAAGCCAAGACTAAAGTGAAGGGAAAGTTGGTGTGTGACTTTTTGTTTGCAGATGATTGTGCATTCAATGCAGCCTCTGAGGTCAAGATGCAACAAAGTATGGATCAGTTCTATGCTACTGGTGCCAATTTTGACCTGAGAATTAACACCAAGAAAACAGAGGTTCTCCACCAGTCAACGCTGTATAGCAAATGGAAAAATTTTGAATGCTGTGTATAAGTTCACTTACCTTGGCAGTGTATTTCCCAGGGATGGATACATAAGATGATGAGGTTGACACATACACACATTGTCAGAGTTAGCTCAGTGTTGGGGAGTCTCTGAAAGAATGTGTAGGAGAGAAGAGGTATTAGGCTGCCTACAAAACTGAAGATCTACAGATCCCTTGCACTGTCCTCATTGTATGCCTGTGAAACCTGGACATTCTACCAGTGCCATGCCAAGAAACTGAATTACTTCTATTTTAATTGTCTTAGGAAGATTGTGAAGACTACCCAGCAAGATAAGGTATCAGACACTGAGGTTC